AAATGTGCCTTTTGAGGAAGTGAGTAAGCGTCACGTCCTAAAAGAATACTAAGTGTTTATGAATATGATTTCAAACAAATTGGGTAAAAGATACTTCTTAAAGAATGTTGAAAACACCGATTTTACTCGTCAGTTTAAATACCAACGTGAAAAGAAAACAACAACAAAAAAACACACCTAGTAAAGCTTAAAGAAAGTAAGTTATAATGTTGTCCTGACTAGCATAAAAATAAATTGAATGCATCACACATTTTGGTGTAAATTAAATGTAAGGGACTCGTTATATTTTAATTTTTAGAAGGCGAAGCGGTTGTGCTCTAATTAGCAGCCTAATTCTTATTGTTTTATGTTACTGTATTGGAAAAACAGTTTTGTTTCACAACACACATTAGGGAGAACCCATTTGGAATCCATTAAAGTGAGTCAACTTTAAAAAAAAAATAACAGTATCTAGAATCGTTATTATTACAACCATTATATGATTATAAGTTTGCAAGCGATAACATCATATATATTGCTGTCAAGATTACTTAATAATGTGAAACGTTCTCTTTTGGTGTGAACTTTCTATTTATATAATTAATGACGTCTTGCAATATTTTTCTTAAATGGTTCACCCCATCGGCGCCTAAGGGGGTTTACTATGTGAAACGAATATCATACTAACATTTTTTAGGAAAAAACAACAACAAAAAATAAATAAACTCGCAATTAATTGATCCTCAGTATAAATCTTCAGAAATAGATAGTTTTCTTCAAAATTTATCCCCAAAATATTTCTCGGTATGGTTAATTTTTCTTGAAATATGATACATGCCCAATTTATCACTTTCAAGAGTGCTGAAAAGCAACAGATAAACCAACTTATTTCTAAGAAGATACTATAAAGTAACAGCTGTGATTTAATTCACATTTAATTGCTGTGATGTATGCTGTTCGTCCAAATATACTAAATTGTTCTTTTGTGTTTCCCAATTGTGTCATACCGTTTTTCTATTATTTCTTCTTCTTCCAGACACTTTTCAATCGACCGCCATTCCTTCATTTCTCGGCATATTGACTTGAAATTTGATAGTATTATACCTTGGTTCAATATTTATTTTTCTTTAGGCCATTTTAAAGATTTAATAAGGTCAAACGTAAAACAACCCAAAAATGTATATTATAGGCTCCCGTACGGTCATATTTATAGTAATTAAGATGAAAACTGGCACAAATACAATTTTTCATGCGCTCAACACAATGACTTTAAAAAGTTGGATTTTCCCATCTTGAGTCTTTT